TCTTTTGATTTAACTTAAAATGTTAATTATGTTTAATAAAATAAATTCCAATTTTTTTAAAAACAACATACTCTCAATGACAACTAGTTACACATGCACAAATGAAAATTTGAAAAATTGTAAGTAGTATAGTTTTAGGGATGTTAATCAGTCCTTTTGGGACTGGGTCCTAAACAGTCTGGATCAATTTATTTCTGAACATTTTTGTAACCAGCCTCCTCATAATAAAATTCATTGTGCGATTGAACACACTGAGCCACCCCATTAGTAATGATGGATAAAGTGTCTTTTTTATTTACGTCTGCAGTATTAGTATGTAACTGTGATATTATTTTTTTTTACTTTTATGTTGTCATTTCTTATTTCATAAAATAAAGGTTCTATGTAACCATGTCTTATCAAAATTACGTTCATTCATGTTTTTATTTGAGATTAATCCGGAAAAATTGAAGTCATTTATCCATATTAATATATTACGTCTCGCAAATCTAGAAATAATAGGCGAAAAACTGATTTGCTGATAAACACAGTATATACAATTCAAAAATCTCGTTAAATATATGCACACCATAGAAGGCGAAAATACAATAGGAGTACTCGGGATGTGAAGGCAATATTTGATCATGTAGATATTTAGAGGTAAATAATCTTGATTTGAATATTCTCAATATGTGTGGAAAATATTTGATTTGTTGATGCGATAAAAGTACATTCTAAAAAAATGTACTATTTCTCTTATTTTTAGGATTTTTCCTCCTCTTTAGAGGTTTATCGATTGTCGATGTAGTATCATCAGAAAAGAGATTGTGTAAAGTATATGCCACTGCAGTCTGTTGAAATTATGTATTGTTTTTTTTTCGCAAATAATATCAATGGTGATCATGGAAATCAACTAAAACAAACCCTTAGTGTCAGCAAGGCATGAATAAGCAAGTAAACTTCATCACCAGTTGCGAATTCTAATGGGATCTTTGCTGATGTAAATGGACAATAGACAAGGACTAGAGATGTGCCATTCATAGTAACCCTGATTTTTTTTCACGCACTGTGCGCACAGTGCGCACACAGTGCGCGCATA